CAGGCTGGCCTCGAACTCACAGAGATCCGCCTGGCTCTGCCTCCCGAGTGCTGGGATTAAAGGCGTGCGCCACCACCGCCCGGCCTAAATGATCTTTTTGATGTGTTCTTAGATTTAGCTTGTAAGTAATTTATTGAGAATTTTTCTTTCGCATCTTTTAATATTCTTTGTTCTGTATGTTTAGTATTTTGATTATTATGTGGTGATGGGACTTTCTTTTTTGGTCCCATCTATTTGATGTTCTGTATGATTCTTGTACATTAATAGGCATCTCCTTTAGGTTAGGAAAATTTTCTTCTATAATTTTGTTGAAAGTATTTTCTAGGCCTTTAAGCTGGGATTCCTTTCCTTCTTCTATTCATATTCTTCCTAGGTTTGGTCTTTTCATAGTGTCCCAGATTTCCTGGATGTTTTGTGTCAGGATTTAATATTTTTATTGACTGATGTATCTATTTCTTCTATCATATTTTCAATAACTAAAATTCTCTCTTCCATCTCTTGTATTCTGTTGGTGAAGCTTGCCTTTGTAGACCCTGGTGGCTTACCTGTATTTTTCATTTCCAGAATTCCCTCAATTTCTGTTTTCTTTATTGCTTCTATTTCCATTTACAGGTCTTGAACAGTTTCGTTAATGAATTTCCAGCTTTCATTAACTGTTTGTTCTTTTCTTAGCTTTCTTGAAGGGATTTATTCATTGTCTTGGTTGGGGTTTCTGTTGCTGTGAAGAGACATCATGACCACAGCAACTCCTAAAAAGGAAAAAGTTTAATTGGGGATGGCTTACAGTTGCAGAGGTTTAGTCCTCTGGCAGTGTGCAGGCAGATATGATGCTGGAGAAGAAGCTGAGAGTTCTGCATCTTGATCTACACAGCAGGAGACTGTGTGCCACACTGGATGTAGCTTGAGCATATGAGACCTCAAAACCGACCCCCACAGCGAAACACTTCCTCCAACAAGGCCACACCTACTCCACAAAGCCACCCCTCCTAATAGTGCCACTTCCTATAGACCAATCATTCAAACACCTGAGTCTATAGGGGCCATACCTATTCAAACCATCACATTCATTTCCTCCAGTTTTTTTTTTTTTTTGGTTTGTTTGTTAGTCATTTCCTTGATTTCTTTAAGATTTATTCATTTCCCTTTGTAGGTACTCTGTCATCTTCATAAAGTTGGCTTTAAGGTCTTTTTCTTGTGCTTCGACTGTGTTAGAATAGTCAGGGGTTGCTGTAGTAGGATAGCTAGGCCCTGATGGAGACATATTGCCTTAGCTGTTGTTGATTGTGTTCTTGGGCTGGCATCTAGGCATCTGGGTTTGGGGTGATTATAGGTCTAGGTGCTGATTTCTGAGTTTGTCTTGGTTAGATGAGTGTTTTGTTCTCCAGTTTCTGTTTCCTCTCTGGTCTTCTGGTTGGTGTGGCCTGTGGTTGAGCAGGTAGTCTCCACTTGAATTGTGGCTGGGCTTCTGGTAGCCAGCATGGCCTATGGTCATGCATGGGGTCTCCACCTGAGTTAGGGGCTGTGACACAGCAACAAGAAGGGAGGGGGGTTGGGGATGGATGGAGGGTACAGAGAGAGTCAGGGGGTGGTCCATGGGCAGGTGGTCTACTTGGAATTCTGGTGGCTGGAATGACCTCTTGTTGCACAGAGGGTCTTCACTCAAGTTCAATAATAAAGAACTTTTAAAGTGCTGAATAACCATGTATTATTGTATCTATATGATAAAATATTTAAACAGATGCCTGATATTGAATAAACATGCTATTTCTATCTTTTACGCAGTCATACAAATTAATAATTTCATATAGTTATATTTGTGAATATATGTTATACATGAGTATCTATCAGTCATCTATTTATCTATCTATCCATCCATTCATATATATTTGATTGTTTGAAATGAGGTATTTATACAGACATTATGAAGCCACGCTGGCCTCAAAATTTAATCTTCCTGCTTTGGCTTCCTGAATGCTGGGAGTAAAGGCATGTGCCTCCAGACCCCCTTCCAGCTGCATTCTTTTTTTTTTTTTTTTTGGCTTTTCAAGACAGTGTTTTTCTAGGTAGCTTTGGAGCCTGTCCTGGAACTCACTCTGTAGCCCAGGCTGGCCTCAAACGCATAGAGATCTGCCCACCTCTGCCTCCCAAGTGCTGGGATTAAAGGTATGCGCCACCACTACCTGGCGCTGGATGAGTTTTATACAGTTTTAGAAATGAAACAGTTGGTATTAAGGGTTAAACCCAGAGCCTTTGGCATGGTAGGCAAGTGCTATACCACTAAGTTTAATCTCTGGCCCAAGGAGCATGCTTTTCCTTTTCTTTTGACATATATATCTGTGTGTGGTGTGTGTTCATGTGGAAGCTTGAGGCAAACATCATGTCTTATTCAATCATCTTGCACCTTATAAACTGAGACAAAGTCTCTCATTGAATCTGGAACTTGCATTCCTGCTGGTCTACCTAGCCAGCTTGTTGGGGGATTCTTTGAATCCTCCTCCCACACTGGGATTACAGTCTACTGCCACACCTGCCTGACTTTATACAGGGCCCTGGGGATCAAACTCTGGACTTCACATTTGCGCATTAAGCATTGTACCTGCTGAGCTAACTTCCTAGCCTAGATATATGCTTTTAAAAATTATTTGGGGCGGTGGTAGCGCACGCCTTTAATCCCAGCACTCGGGAGGCAGAGCCAGGAGGATCTCTGTGAATTCGAGGTTAGCCTGGTCTACAGAGTGAGTTCCAGGACAGGCTCCAAAGCTACACAGAGAAACCCTGTCTCAAAAAACTAAAAACAAACAAATAAACAAACAAAACAACAACAACAACAACAAACAATAAAAATTATTTAAAGTTTACCATTTAGGCCAATAGTATTATTAAGTGTTTTCATCTCACAACTCTGATAGGCTGCACACAATAATATTTTACTATTATTTTTAATAGGTTCTTTAACATAATGGCTTTATTGAAATTAATATATATTAATATATTAATGGCATATTAATATACCATTCTTCAGGTATGAAATTCAGTGACTTCTAGCACAGTTACAAAGTCATACATCAACTACTGCTGTTACCATCCTAAAAAGAAACCCACCTCCATTCATAGTCAAAGCCCTCTTCCCTCCCCTGGCAAGCACTAAGCTATTTTCTACTTTTATAAATTTTTCTGTTCCTGGTATCTCACATATAAAGAATTATCCATAGCACAGTCTTGCTGTGAGATGTTCTCTATGCTATAAATGTGTTGCTCTGATTGATTAATAAATAAAGTGCTGACTGGCCAGTAGCCATGCAGGAAGTATAGGTGGGACAAAGAGAGAGGAGAATTCTGGGAAGTGGAAGGCTGAGTGGAGAGATGCTGCCAGCTGCCATCATGACAAGCAACATGTAAGATACCCGTAAGCCACGAGCCATGTGGCAAGGTATAGATTTATAGAAATAGGTTAATTTAACATATAAGAACTAGATAACAAGATGCCTGCCATGGCCATACAGTTTATAAGTAATATAAGTCTCTGTGTGTTTGATTGGGTCCGAGCAGCTGCGGGACTGGTGGGTGAGAGAGATTTGTCCTGACTGTGGACCAGGCAGGACCAGGAAAACTTCAGCTACACAGTCTTTTGCTGAATACACCTGTTAACTTAAAATAGAGATCTGCAATCAAGAACCTCACTTCCCAGCCAGGAAGGGAAGAACAAGCTACATGAGAAGCAAGCACTGAAGGAAAACACTGTAAGCATTTGTTGAACATAAATAAAGTAGAAAATACAGAAAACCGGCAAACCCAAGTTGGTTCTTAGAACAATCAATAACACAGACTAAGCTTCAGTTAGTTAACCAATGAAACAAAAACTTTCCAAAATTAGCAATGCATAGAGAAATACTACCACCAATCGTGGAGTTACAAAGTATTAGAGAATGATACTATAAACCAGTAAATTAGATTCCTCAGATAAAATGGTCAGAAAGAACCAAGGGAGACTGAAGAAGACACTCTGAACACGGCTGTGTTCTTGACTAACTAAGTTCCTCTAGTATAACTAGATACCTCACCTGGCCTACAGTGAGCCCTAGTTCGTCTCCACATTGCAAAGTGTAGCTACTGAAGGGAAAAAGAACTATAGACAAGTTCCATAATGAGTATAAACAGATACCAGGAGCTCACTGGCCAGCTAGCCCAGCAAAATTATGGAGCTCCAGGCACAGTGTGAGAGCCCACCTCAAAAAATAAGGTGGAGAGCAGGTGAGAAACATACCAGGTGTTATCAAACTCTGACCTTCATACGTGCAGGAGTGTCTCTCTCTCTCTCTCTCTCTCTCTCTCTCTCTCTCTCTCTCTCTCTCTCTCTCTCTCTCTCTCTCTCTCTCTCTCTTTCTCTCTCTCACATACACATACACACACCACACAAACATAAACACATGCATGTATACACATCTACACATACAAAATAGATTAAATTTCAACTCTAAGATATTTTACATAAACTAGATAGAGAAAGTAACAAAAAAGCCCCAGAAACAGATGTGAATAGCATTACAAATACACACTAAATAAAGAGGTTTTATAATTGGGTGTGGTAGTGCACACCTTGAATTCTAGCACTCAGGAGACAGAGGTGGGCCGATCACTATGAGTTTGAGGCCAGCCTGGTCTACTACATAGCACATTTTAATCCAGTCAGAGCTACATAATAAGACCTTGGGTCAAAACAAACAAATAAATAACAACAATAAAAAAAAAGAAAAAGAAAAAGAAACCTTATAATAAAGGTAAAACTATTTTATGCATACCTGTAAGTATGGCTAAGACTTGTGAATAACTACGTTTTTTAAAACCCAGTTATAAAAAAAAATAGTGTTTAATCATTACTAGTGCCCTGGAGATTCCCAATCTCCTCTTCTGGCATTTGAAGCACCTGATTTGAGACTTAAACTTGTCAAGCAGCAGACAGTCAGTTTTCCTATACACTGAGAGCACAGCAGTCCTCATACCTCCTCAGGCCTGCCCAGAGCTGGGGTTCCTGTAAGCAGAACGGCTCGCCTGGCTTTCTGTACCAGGGGCAGGAGAATCCTGCTGCGGGCAGCAGTTCTGGACTTCATGTAGTGCGATTCGTCCACTATCACAACTCTGAAGTGCTGGCTGTTCAGTGCATCTGTCAAAGTCTCTGCATCTGTGGTTATGAGACCGTAGCCTAGAATTGTCACCCTGCTGGTCGATACTCTCCTAGAAAAGAAAATCCACTGCTTAAGAAATATCTGTCTCAGCAATGCATCTATCACAAACAAAACACAGTAGTCTTGGAGAGGAAGGGGGAGGGGGGAGGGGGAGGGGGAGGGAGAGAGAGAGAGAGGGAGAGGGAGAGAGGGAGAGGGAGAGGGAGAGGGAGAGGGAGAGAGAGAGGAGAAATAAGAGATGGTCCTACTGCTAAACCTCAACTATTAAAAGAGTTCAGATTTTACATTTCTCCAATATGTTAAGCCAAGACTTACAATTCTGGTCAAGCGGTTTTTGGAAGATCATTTTTGGAAGAACATAGGATAAGAATGTTACTTTATGACTGTATTTTCTTCCATGCATTGGTTTTTCAACCTGGGTGCGGTTATATTTTGTCAGAACAGCACCCAATGGAGCTGTCCACTGCACATCCCTGGTCTTCCCATCTCATCTAGCACAGCCCTCAGGCACTGTGGTGCTGAAGAGATGGAACAAGTTAGAAGAAGGACCCTCCCCTTAGACAGAGAGCCACCGGCTAAAGCAAAGTGACCCTCTGAGCCTTTGCTCTCTAGAACACACATCTGCAAAGGTCTTCAATTACTATTATCAATTTATTCCGATACACATTTTGTTACTATGTGTGAGAGCTTGCCCTGGGGCCTCTCATCTTTTCTTCACAACTCAAGGACTAGGATTACTGGGAGGCTAACATGTTAGCCAAGTTTTTATGCCAGATTCCTTGTTTCCACCTCTCCAGTGCAGGGGATGAGGGAAGGCCACCGTGCCCACCCACCACTTACACCGAAGCTGGAGATTAGAAGTGTTTTACCCTCACAGCCATCCCCCAGCCCCAGCCCATTTTCTATCCTCCACGGAAGAAGTGAGAGCTCTGGACTTGTGAGTAGCATCTGAAGGTCTGAACACATCTAATTAGCACAGAGAACTATGGCTTCCTCCATGTGCTCAGACAGCAGAAGAGCCTGCAGAAGAAAAGTGTGGGCTTAGTATCACGAGCTAACTAAGGTATACTGTGAGGAATACTATCCACCAGACAATGGTGGTGAAGGTCACTGCAGCCGTCTTGGTGGCTTCTATTCTGACGTTTCAGAACTGGGTGATAGTTCAGCAAAAGCTGGCACTGGAGTAATCTCTATACGCAGTACACACACACAGGCTGGTACAGACCCAAAACTGCTTCTTTAGGGATCTAGAAGACACTAAGTCATTTTTCTGTCCTTGGTTAACATCTTCCAGAATGAACACTCCTGGAGTTGCGGTCCCATCTAACACACGCAAACGTTCTATAAACAAGAGCCACTACCACTATTTAATCACAGGAGTGTGTGCCTCCTAAATAATAATGAAAAGTGGATGATCTAATGCCAAAAAAGATGGCACAGGATAGATTTTTTTAAAATGTCAATATAGACATTTAAATTAAGGTAAGAAAGCCTTAAAAATTCAACATTCAGTTTCTGCATAATATTGAAAAGACACAAATTTAGAGAATGTTGAATTTTTAAGGCTTTCTTACCTTAATTTAAATGTCTATATTGACATTTTCTTAAAATAAGAATTGCTTAAATTTTATTATAGTAATGCAAATAGGCCTAATTTTTCTGGATTCATACATATAAATGCTAATGAATTATGGTTCCAAGGTTAAAAGAGGTAAAATATCCTATATCTATGTCGTCCGCTTCCTCCTTCTCCATGCAAGCCGAAGTTATCCCTACAAAAACTATTTACATTCATAGTGTTAGATAATACAGTTCAGAACAATATTACCAAGAATGATCTAAGAACTGACAAATACTTATTTCTGGAAGTGTTACTTTTAAAGCCAAGAAAGTGATAATTCTGTGTCACTTGTCCCCTTTTTTTCCTCCCAAGACAGGGTTTCTCTGTGTATCCCTGGTTCTTCCTGGAACTCACTCTGTAGACCAAGCTGGCCTTGAACTCACACAGATCTGCCTGCCTGAGCCTTCCGAGTGCTGGGATTAAAGGTGAGCAGCACCACCACATGTGGCCATATACCTTTTCTTCAAGACAAGTCAGTTCTTCTTACCCAATGTCAGTTTTGTTCATGATAATATTGATTTCCTCTGGCTCGAGCTCTGGGATCCATTTCTCTAGTTCTTCCGCCCACGGGTACCGCAGAGATGAAGGGACGACTATCAGCAGGGGCCATTCCTCCTTGTAGAAGTAAGCCACTGCAATTGCCTGGATTGTCTTCCCAAGCCCCATCTACACAAAAATTTAAAAAGTGTATATTACAAATAAAGCCTATATCCTGAAAGAAATGATCAAATACTGAAAAGTACAACATCAAGAATTTTATTATACCAGTTGGAATATACAGTTAATAAAAAGTTCAAGATTACTAGAAACTTGAAGTCATTAAGTTACGCTATTTTAAAAATCATTTGTGATTATAATTAAAGACAGATGATCCTAGATTATACTGATTTCATTTGTAGTTTTTCTTTTTGAGAACACAACAATAAATGCATTACCTACCAAGCAGAAGATCATGTTATTTAAAGTTAAAGTAACTGTGAGTCATACATGTTTTCCAAAGAAAAAGTAAGATAGAGAGGTTGAGTTATTGAAACCACAGCTAACTGATACAAAATTGGGATGAGATTCCAGGTTTGAGGTGTCTTTTTCTTTTGACCATCTCTATGCTATTCCCATCAGCCCTTTCTAAGCTGTTTCCACAGAAAGGAAGCTCCTGGTGAACCGTTAAAGAGGTTTTCTCCACAACAGTCGGAAAGGAAAGACAATTCAAATGTGTTTCACCTGGAGCGTTCTAGCCCAAGGTTCACTGATGAAAGGGAATAAATGGTGCTGGGGTGAGTGTGGCTGAGCAAGTGGCAGGCACAGGGCTCAACCTCCAGCAACCCATGCCCTGATTTTTAAAGGAGCAGCAAATTACTGCTTTCTATGATACTGCTTACATATCACTGTGGAGAAGGCCTAACAGTAGGATATACAGCGGGTCAAGGGCAGCTGGAGGAGGGGAGGGAGGAGGGAGGCGGCAGGGCGGAGCTGTTCCCCCTTGACTTCAGTGCAGTGAGGTGACTGCACACACTTGCCAGAAGTCATGGATAGTTTAGTAAACACAGTCAGATGGGCTGGAGAGATGGCTCAGTGGGTAAAAGCACTGGCTGTGTGAACGGAACGGAGTTTGAGTTCCCAGAACCCATGCAAAAAATTCAGGCTTGTCTGCATGTGCTTATATTGAGGGGCAGAAATGAATGGATCCTGGGGGCTTGCTGGCCAGTGAACCTAATCAAAAAAGTGGCAAGATTCGGGGTTCAATGAGAAACCTGTCTCAAAGACAGACAGTGACAGAGCAAGGCACTAGACATTTTCCTTTGGTTTCCATGTACGCACACAAGTGCACACACACACACACACACACACACACACACACACACACACACACACACACACACACACGTCACACATACTGTGTTGAGGAAAAACTGGTCAGTGAGGAACCAAGGCAGCATTTGGAGACTTTTTATGCCAGCAGGCCTGTACAGAGCCAGTGCTCTGAAGAGTCTGGCCGGAACTGAAGTGGGCACCTGCAGACGGCCTGTGCTTCACGGCCACAGAAGGGAAATTCCAATGCATTTAGGCATGCCTTCTGAAGCAGGGCTGGTATGGGCAGTTTCTGCAGGGCACCTATTGTCTTAAAACAGTTTTGTGTTTGTTCTCTCAACATAAGGGATTTGGATGGGGTTTGCAGGAGTATGAAAGCACAATTCAGCACTCCTAAATATGTTGGAAATAAAATTTTAATTTATTTCTACATAATACTAGAGCCTTTAAGCAGGAATTGTTATTTAAGCTTCCGTACAGCAAGACAGTAGTCTGACTACACTAGGTGTATATTCAAGGTAATAAATGTGTAACATATGTTTCTGTTTTTCCTTCAACTATTCTACTCTCACTCATAATAATTAAAAATTTAAAAAAGGGAGCACACAGAAAACAAAAACAAAAATGGGTTAATTCACCTAATTTACCCTTCTGAGTAAATTACACCACAATAGTCCTTACATTTACAAAGAAGAAATTACTACAGTAAATAGTTGTGAAGAAAAGGACTAATAGATATAGGCTTTGCATGGCAGACTATTCAAAAGAAAAAAAAAAGGGAGAAACCTAAAAGAGTAAGTTTCAAATGCTGAGTGAGATTAAAAAGAGAAAAGGCAGTTTTGGAATTTTAGCAAGTCTATTACAGAAAACTTGTTTATGTGTTTTTCTTTATACACACACACACACACACACACACACACACATACACACACACACACACACACACACATAAATGATTTTATTTTTATTTTTCACTTAATGCTATGTGCATTGGTGTTTGCCTGCATGTGTAAGGGTATCAGATCCCATGGAACTGGAATTACAAACAGTTATGAGCTGACATGTGGGTGCTGGAAGTTGAACCCAGGTTCTCTGAAAGAGCAGCCAGTGCTCTTAACCACTGAGCCAACTCTCCAGCCCCCTATATGCTTTTCCTTTAATTACTGCTATTAACAACAAGAATCAGCCGGGCAGTAGTGGTGCACACCTTTAACCCCAGCACTTGGGAGGCAAAGCCAGGTGGATCTCTGTGAGTTCGAGGCCAGCCTGGTCTACAGAGTGAGCTCCACATCAGGCACCAAAACTACACAGAGAAACCCTGTCTCGGAAAACCAAAAAATCAAAACAAACAAACAACAACAACAAAAAAGAACAAGAATCTTGGTTACCTCACTCACAACAATTTTTTCCAGCTTCATTCTTTTACCTGTGAATTTTACAACTTCATTTTTCTTAAAAGTCAAATAACATTCCATTTGTATAACCCACACACAGAAAGACAAACACCATATGTTTTCTCTTATATGTGGATGCCAACTTTGGATCTTTAGACATGTGTGTTTCATTTGGAAAAAGAGAACAGGGATCTAGTCAAGGACAGTGGGGAGGGCTCTCCAGGGAGAGGAGAGAGAGTGGGTGATACACAGGGGGAAAGAGGAGCACTCAGCTACAACAACGACTTGCCTGGCAAGATACGGCCACCAGTGCAACAGTGACAGAAATGTTACAGAAGTAACCAAGCACAAGATGCAACTTATATTTGGGACTATTATGGGCTCCAAGAATCACTCAGAGGCTTAATATTGATCACAAATTGTATGGCCCATGGCTTCTTGCTTCTTGCAAGCTCGTATAACTTAACTCAGCCCATTTCTATTAATCTATGTATCGCCACGTGTTCCGTGGCTTTACCTGGGTCCCATTACATGTTGTTCCTTGGACGGCGGGTTGGCGTCTCCTCCCCAAACAAAAAGGAACAAGAAAGACAATGGGAACGACTTAATTAAAGTTACATTTATAACAACTAATCTTCTATATTAATGAGAAAATTAGTGTGATGTTTAAGAAAATGTTCTCCTTTAAGAAAAAGACTATAGAGAATAGAATTTAGGAAGTAATGTTTGTGACCTACAACATTGCCACTGCCACAAATATTATTTGATCTCAAGAATGAATGGATACTTTAAGGAAAGACAAGCAACCTTACATTCCTTGGAGTTGAAAATACAGAGATGAGGAAGTGTTTACAGTTCTAAATGAGCAGCACAAAAGCTTTAAGTCCAGCAGGGTAGTATGACTAGTTATCATTCAGCTTCAAGCCACGTGATGTGGTAACAGGGAACTCAAGTCTAAGTGCTTTTAACAAATACTGAGGGAAGATACAGCTGAAGATCAAAACGTTTGACCTAATCTTTTAAGGATAAAATTGAGGTAGCAGATAGAGTGGTGCAGGCTGAAGCAGGAAGGCTCTGGGTTGGAAAGTATCCTGGTCTACCTGGCAACTTCAAAGCCAGCATGGGTTACAAAGCCAAGTCCCGTCTTTAGGATGTTAGGGTCTGTGAGAAATCCCATTAAAGACCACCAGTCATGTACGCAATCAACAAGAACGTTTAATAATTGTGTAAAGAACGTTTAATAAAAAATTCCAGCATGCCATCTGACAAAGTGGCAAATGGCGACCCCAAGAGAAGCTTGCAGGCTCCTTTTAAGCAGGATGAGGGGAATTCCAACTGTGGTTAAGTGTACTTTGAAGTGACTGGGTATAGACCCTTATTGGTACAGAAATCATTTATTTTTTTAAAGATTTATTTATTTATTTATTATGTATACAATGTTCTGTCTGCATGTATCCCTGCATGCCAGAAGAGGGCATCAGATCTCATTATAGATGGTTATGAGCTGCCATGTGGTTGCTGGGAATTGAACTCAGGACCTCTGAAAGAACAGTCTATGCTCTTAACCTCTGAGCCATCTCTCCAGCCCCAGAAATCATTTATGATTGGCTCAGGACACCTGGTCAGCAACTGTGTTTGCAGTATCAGGGGTTTGTTTGACTGAAAATAGCAAGAACAGTTCCTGCTTGTGGCCAGGTAGGACCCTGATTGGCTAACAGACTGGACATACTTCCTGAGGGTCTGACTGAAGCCAGACTTGAGTCAACATAGGATGGTGGGATAATATAGGGCAGAGGTCTTAGCAAACTGGCCCCTGGGGGCCGGGGGCGGGGGCGGGTTAGTGGGACAACTGGCCCTGTTATAAGAGGGGACAGTCGCTTCAAGGACAGGACAAATTTGTTCTAGAAAAAAAAATTGCTAGCAGGAGGATGACTGTGTTTTATTGTTGTTAGATACAAACTTTTAAATCATGGACTTCGAAGTCAGTATATGGAGGAGAATTTAAAATAGCATAATACTCAATTAAAGCAATAACACACCACATAATTTTGGTAGGAGAAAATAACTAGGCTCAATAGGTAGCTCAAAGCCCTTGGCTTTAACCAATTTCAGTTTGTTAAAGTGGAATCCTGCAGTATTTCTTCACTTGAGTATAAACCACTATTAAGAACTAAAGCTGACTCAATGATCATGCAGATGTCTACATAAGAATTAAATAGAATACATGAACCTTAATAGCACATTTTATCAATGTTTTCAAAATAGTAAATCATCATGTAACTTGGAAGAATAATTTCAAGTTTTCTCTTAAAACTAAAAAGAATAATTAGCAATGACCTCAATATGGAATTTTAGTTTCATTTATTTATGCTGTGATTGCTTTTATACAGTAATTTTAAACACAGATAATGCCAGGTACTGAGAACCTTTTGAATTTGGAAAAAAGTCAAATTTTAGAGTTAA